AAAGCTATGAAAATGATAAGTGTGAATAATATATTATTAAAAACATGAAACGATTGGTCGTGGGATAAAGAAAAATACTAAAACGACCATTCCAAATCCCGAAAATATAAATGAATCGTAAGCGATAATTTAGGGTTATAACCTTATCTTTTTCGAAAAACCTAAAAATAGTTATGGTTAAGTTACAAGAATCTTTTTTAAAAAAATATCGTATTTAGATTTTTATATTGTGCTTACCAATAATCCAATACCTGTAACAATGTAAAATTTTCAAGAACTAAACATCGCTATAGAAGTAAATAGGATGAAAACGTTATCTACCATCGAACTACTACCAATTAACGTTAGAAATGCACACCAGATAAACTGCGTGATTAAAGCATTAACAGTTAACTGGTATATCAAAAGTGTCATGCGCATCCGAAAATATTGGGAAAAAGTTTTGCTGCTGTACCAATAGCAGATAGAATGACAAAAAATGACAATATTCCGGATACTAGTAGCTCACTATTAAATATCATAAAAAAAACGCTGCTATCGTTTCGTTAAAATGTTTCGTACTGGTACCGATTACGAGTTGAGGAGGTAGAGTAGTTATAAATAGGGATGGAAAAAGTTTCAAATGGAGTGACTCAAGTCGGTTTTGGAGCCGAACGTTGGAGCCATTTCGAGTCGAACCGAGCAGCTCAAGTGGAACGAACGGTTCCATTAGAGTCGACTCTGAAAGTAGCTAAGCCGGGTACGTGGTGGAATTATGAATACCAGAACGGATCGGTCGGTTCGGTACTAAACGCCGTTCCGAATCGGATTTTAGAGTCAATTTCACCAATTCGGTTCGTTCCGGTGAAACCGAACCGATAAAGTCATCCCATCCCAGTTATAAAATGCGATATTCAGTTATATCTGACAAAAATAAAAAATTAAAAAAATCTTTTATGAGTTCCGATGCTGTAGCTGTTGCCAAGCCGCAACTTCTTTTCGGGTTCCAAAATTCATCTAATGAGTAATTCAGGTTATTCCAACCATTATAACTGAAAAAAAACTTCAATTATCACATGCCTTCGTCATGATTTTCTTCCTCAAAATAAAGACTTATTACCGAAAATTTTGAATCCGAACTCTCTAAAGTTTGTTTCCATCAATATTAAAATAATCTTTTAAGCGCAATGGTAATAACCGTTATCATTTAATCACTGTAAGTAATTGGTTATTGCGATTTGCTTTCTGTTATTTAGCATATGATATACTGTTATTATTAATAATAGCATAATTGATATTATTTTTAATAATCCTACAATAGAAAATTGTTAGAGAAACTTAAAAATTATAATGAATTTACCTCGGTGTAGACGAGAGAACCGTATAAACTTACGATTCCCCAATTACTTGTTCAGTTCCTATGTTTTTCCTATTTAGTGATAATGTTTTGTTTCTAAAGCAAATCGAAATTTATTTATTTAGTATATGCACAAAATTCCCGTCAAAACACGTGTATTTTTTTGTCATGGCTCGCGAATTTTAGATTCTGGCTCTCCTTTTGTTATTAGAATATATAAAATAATTTAAATATAAATTTTCATTGGTTAAATTATAAACATTTCATTCATTAATAAAAAAAAATTTTCTCATGATTTATAAAAAAAGAAATTTATTTACAACTAAAATTATTAAAAACTATTGTAAGTAAAATAAAATTTTTTATTACATTAGCGCTGTTACAGTTTTATTTTAAAATTTATGGTAAAATATTAATAGTAAAATTGACCATAAATATTATGGATATCATTTGATCTTCGTAATTCTAAGCCACCATCATATAAACTTTATTATCCTATGTTTTACTAATTGGTCGCCAGTGATTTTTTTGATGATATATTCATGCTTGTAATTTTTCTGATGATATTTTCATGCTCACGTATTTTTATAGTTTATTTATACCTCTCCCACTCTCTCCCATGCCATCACTGGACGTTAGTCTCCATGAGATAAAAGAGTTATTTCACGTGTCGCATAAATATCATGACTCCCCGTGAAATAACTATTACTTAATATTTTTTTCATCTAAAGACCAGATACCTAAAAACCGATTCCTATAGATTCCAAAGTTTCTTAATAACTCCAACCAAATAACAGATAATACTTTTTCATTTATTTTTATAATTCTAACTATTTTTTCGTTTCTATCTATTTTTTTCATTAGTGTAAATAAGCTGTATTTTTTGTTTTTGGTTGTTTTCGGTATTTTCAGTATTTTATTTATAAATAAAATATATCACCTGATCACAGTAATCGAAAATGGCGATAATGAGTCTTATTGAAATTTTTCGTTTACTTGATATACAGGTAAAACAAAGTTGATAGATCTCCCTAGTTATTGCAATATATTGGATGAGAATCGGAGTTATTTTTTAAAATTCTTGTCATTTAGCCATTTACATTTAGTCAAATATGGTCAATGCTCAAAATGAAAAATTTATTACTCATGTTATCATATTTGGCTACGGGAATTGCTCTGGGCGATTGCCGATTGTTTCCTGATTGTCGCCTAGAAGATCATCGCCTGGGTTTTTTTTTCAAATATGTCACATGATGTACAATATCTAATATATAAAGAGTAAATTTATTAATCGGCTGACGGCTGATTTTTTTTAACTTAGCCAATTTTTGATCGGCTAAACTTAAAATTTTATCGCAAAAGATATTTAAAAAAAAATTTTTTTTGCAAACATTAAACATATTTATTTAAAATAATCTTATCTAATGAAATTTTATTTGCAAATATTAAAATTTAAGTCACACATTTACGATTTTAAAGAAAAAACTCACTGTATTTATTTTTAATGAATTACAATGATCAAGAAGAAAGATGTTAATAAATAAATGAAATAACAATGTAGTAGTGGAAAGTAATAGAAGATGAAAGGGAATAATAAAGAGTAATGAGAAGTGATAGGAAACAAAAATGAGAAATAGGACATGATGGGAGACGAAAAGAAGTGATGGAAAGATGAAGAGGAGTGATGGGGGACGAAAAGGAGTGATGAACGACAAAAAAAATAATGGGAAGTAAACAGGAGAGAAAAAGATAATGGAAAATGAAAAGATGTAATAGAAAATAATGGGAGATGAAAAGGATGAAAGAATGAGAAGTAATAGGAGACGAAAAATGATGAGAGATAAAAAATAAAAAATGACCATGATAGGAGGTTGGGTAGCAGAAGATAATGATAGGAAACCAAGTAAAAAATAAAACCAAAAAGTAAAAAAAAAATGAAGTTAGTAAGAAACGAAATATAAGATAGAAACAAAATAAAAAAAATAAATAAAAGTAAAAAACATACTTTTATTAATTGTAGAACTGAAAGAACTAAAAGATCTAAAAAAATTGAAATAAAATTGGTGAAAAATGAATATGAAACAGTAACAAATTAAAAAAAAAATAAAAAAATGAGTAAGAAACGAAACGTAAAGTGGAAAACAACTGAACCTTAATTGCAGAACCGGAAGGACTAAAGGGCCTAAAAACAATGAAATAGAGTTAGTAAGAAACAAAGTGTAAGAACGTAGTTAAAAGTAAAATTAAAAGAAAAAAAGAAAAATACCTTGAGACCGAAAGAACCGAGGAAACGAACCTCGAACCTATACTGAAAATGAGNAAAGAAAAATACCTTGAGACCGAAAGAACCGAGGAAACGAACCTCGAACCTATACTGAAAATGAGATGACGCGAACATGTGGCCAATCTGGCCAATCAAAAATATTAAATCTGCCACGTGATCAAAGTCCCAGCAGGCGATGCTTTAGCAATTCAATTGGGCTAAATATACCTGTACCATCTTTTAAATTTTAAAAAACCATATTAATCATTTTAACCATTTTAACCACTTTTCCCACATAGATAAATTACTATCAATCCAAGAGTCTATCTTGTTAATCACGATGTATATCTTCAAACTCTCCAAAAGAACAAGACCGTTTTTTCTTTTCATGTGTAAATTAAACCATGGGAAACATTAATAATAATCTTGGTAATTTCCGTAGTGATTTGGTAAATTTGAAGTCATAAAGTAAAATACATAGGGTCTTTGCAATAGAAATGTACGAAACTCAAAAAAAATTTTAATTTTACTTTATATGCTAATTATGTTTTTTTACTGAAATAAATGCAAATTTATATTAATTCATGATTGGGTCAAAACGCTTATTGTTACAATTATAGTACCGGAATTAGGCTGGGATGATTGATGAGATGTATATCTCAAGATAATAATCCTCCTAGATTTTATGCAAATGAACCCTTTTGCTGGTTAAAGGAAGTTTTAAATGATGTTACAAAACACCCGATGATTTTTATCATAATTTAATCAAATTGAATATGATGTGAAATGACAAATTTCATATGAATACAAATTCACAAAATCTGAATGAAGCAAAACAACAACTTGAAATAATGGCTCCTGAGTGGTTTAAATACTTTAAAGAACCATTAAAGAAAGCTCTTGATGCTATCAAAGCTTGGTGGAAATGAGAGGGAACAAGATGTTGAATGTGATTAATAACTATTCACATCTTTGAATTGTTTTGTAAGAATCTTTGCAAGAGCAACAATACTTATCTGCTAATTAGTAGTTTGCTGTTTTTAGTTAGCAGTTATTAACCATTGGCTGATAAAGAATGCAAAATAACAAAGATATAAATAATTTTATATGAATTCTGATTGGTTTAAATGTAAAATCATGTGATTTATTAGTAAATAAATTTGTTTGCCCAAATTTGACTTAATTATCGTTATGTAATGTGCAAAATTACTTAAAAAAAAAAATCTTATTATAATAAACTAAGAACTAGCATATGAATCAAGATTAGCGAAAAAATGAAAAAAAGATGAAAACTTGTCAACTCTTTTCTTATTTCCTATGTACAAGTTACATCCTTAGAAAAGGACAATGAATAAAATGTAAAAAATCAATTAAATAAAACTCCTCCCTTTCTAATTACCTTTAAAGTCTATCTTTCTAGAAAAGAACAAGAAATGAACGTTAGAAGCATTTCTTTAAAATTAAATAAAAAAAAAAAAATAGATATACACCTTCCCTCTTCCTAATTTATCTTTTTGAAAGTTTGGCTTATGTAGGGAACTCGACGTCTCTAGAAAAAGACAAGAGATAAAACATTAGAAACGTTTCTTTAAAGCCAGTATATACAAAAAACAAAAGCACACTTCCCATTTCCTAATTTACCTTTAAAAATCCGGGTTGCATAAGGAAAACTGTGTCCCTAGAAAAAAAAATGAATTAAACGTTAGAAACGTTTCTTTAAAGTCAATTAAAAAAGCATACTTGCCTGTTTTAAATCTTTTACTAGATCCACTAAGAAAGAAGATAAAAAACGTAAGAATGATGTAATATTTCGTTATACAGATAACGCAACATATAAAATGGAGTAACGTTAGGACGTTAGGTTAAAACAATTCCATTTACGTTCCGTGCCTTGTTAAAGGGAGCAACGTAATTATGCACATTTTCACTACCTTACGTTACACACTTAGCCAATCTATGTTACCTACCATGGTGATTAGTTGCTTTTTTACACAGTTCAACTATTTATGTAATTGAAAAATTGATTTATTTATAATAATATTTATGGTAAAAATGTAACTTGCATATAATTTACAGTAATGTACATACGTATACTATCGATGCGCCTTCTATAATCAGTATTTGTATCCATAGGTTTTGGAAGACGTATAGTCATTGGCTTATTCTTTACTTTCTGTAACATTATTTTCTTGCCAAATTTTTTCTTAGAGCTCAAATCAAAGTCTGACGTTCTTACTTCACTCTCAGCTAAGGTCATTTTTGTGTCCGGAAGTCCATAAGACTCTGTTCTTACTATAAATTGATAATAAATATTTAAATAAAATACAATAATAAATAAATATAATTTTAATCTAAAAGGAATTATAATTACCAGAAGCAGGTATTCTCTTTTCATCATTTCTTTCTATTGGATATTTTTTACTCCATTTATAAAAAATATTAATTAATTCATTGGCAGTTGGTCTTTTTTCAGGATCATTATCCCAACATCTTTTCATTAATTCAATATATTCAGGAATTGTTCCTTCTATAATTTCTGGTCTATCCCCCTTGCAAATATGAAATGCTGGGACTCCCGATGTCATTTCCCACATTAGAATTCCAAAACTATATATGTCAGCAGCTTTTGTATATAATTTATCATTTAAAACTTCCGGCGCAAAGTGAGGAAGAAGTTCATATATATCATTATTTATATTAGGTTGGTTAGCTAGTCTACATAATCTAAAATCACTAATTACTATTGAATCATGAGTCGCGCAAAGCAGATTTTCATTATAAAAATTGCCATGAACTAGATTTAATTTATGAATGGCTTCAAGCTGTTTTGAAATATCCCACAAATTATAAAATTTATCATTTGGATTCTCTTTTTTTATTGATAAATTATTTCTTAAATTTCCTAGAGATGCGTTAGGCATTATAATCATATAATTTAATGTATATGGATCTTGTGTTATTCCAAGTAGTGGAATAAGAGATGTGTTATTTGATAATGCTTCGCGCTGACATTGTAAATGTAATTTCCACTGTATTTAAAAATAAACATAAATATTTATTCGTATATCAAAATTACATGTATTGATTATTCAAGAATAATATTGTTGCCTACCTCATTAAGTTTATTTTCATCAAATTTTGATGAACTTTTAAGTGCTACCTGATAGCCATGTATCTCTGGATTATTTGCTTCTTTATAACCTTGTTTATCAACGAGTCGCTTCCAATCTCGTTCCTCATAATCCCAGTGCATTATCCATCCATCCAACCAAGTTACTCTATAAACAGTGTCACATTCGCCATTAGCTAAGTAACTAATATTTCTTAATCGATCGTAAGGAACCCATTCAAGTAATTCAAATCTATTTCTTGCATTTATTTGCGATTCTTGAATAAACTTGTCAATATATTCATTCTTACTAGTCCAACATTTAAAATTTTGTTGAAACTTTTTGGAATAACATTTCTTACACCAATTCTCCCCTGTATTTGGTTGATTACATTCAGGACATGAGCCATAACTAGTATGACCGCGTTTGATTTCATCATATAAAAAATGTGAAAAATTATTATTCGAAATATTACTATTCATTTCATTAGGTTTTTTTTTGATTAGATTGAATCGAAATGAAGCTTAGACAGTTGTTTTATATAGTATTTTAAAATTTATTTTCGGATGATGCGATTTTATTTTAGCAAATGAAATGAAGTTGTGATCAACATACAGTGGTGCCCTTCGGATAAAACAGGATAAAAAAAATGGAATTATAATGAATTCTGAATTCTTTCTTGAAGTAAAAATGAACCTTCATAAGTTTATATTAAATCTAATATTACTATATATAATATATAATCATTAATTTTACAATGATACAAAAATCAGCACATTTTTAAATTAGCGCGGCTTGCCATAATAATGATCACATTTCAGGTCCCAAATTAAAATTTTTATTTTGGAAAGTACGAAATAAAAACGAATCAAAAACATCTAGTTTTTTCTCAATGTCAATTTCTATAATATTCCGGAATATCCTCTTGAACAATTATTCTCATCTTCATCAGATGATTTTCATTTCTCAACTAGGTTTAGGTCAGGATTTTTTGCGTGTGAATTTTCTAAGTGGAACGTGGGAATCTGTAATCCTATGTTATTCAGAGTGATCGTGGTGATCTGCATAATTTTATCACCTGATGATTTTTACATCAGGTGAGATTTACTTCACATGATTTTCACTAGTACACTCGAGAAAACGATGGCGTGAGAATAAATTTCAGAATTTAATAAGATGATATTCAAATTTCAAATTTTCCCAATGGAATCTTTTGAAAATTTTATTTTTCTTTCTTTTGTTAAAATTCATTAATGTTAGAGATGACGAATCTGGTAAAGCCAAATAATGAATTAAATAATATCAGTTCAAGTGATGATAATAGTTATGGTCCACATGAACAATACATATATGATAATCTAGAGTATGGCTTATGTCCTGAATGTGTTAAACCAAACATGTGGGCTAACTGGTGCAAAACTTGCAATTCCAAAAGATTTCAACGAAATTTTCATAATTGGACTAGTGGAAACGAGCATATAGATAAGTTTATTCAAGAAACTCAATTAAATGCGAATAACAACTTTGAATTACTTGAATGGATACCTTATGATCGATTAACAAATATTGAATACTTAGCTAGGGGTGGTTTTGGCGTAATTTACGAAGCAATTTGGTTGGATGGACGGATATTAAGCTGGAATTGCGAAAAGCAAAATTGGAATCGTAAAGATATAAATTATCACAAAAATGATGGGAAACAAGGCTATTGGGTAATACTTAAAAGCTTAAGTGATTCATCAAAGATTGATGAGGATTTTTTAAATGAGGTAAGCAACTATATCTTCTATATAAGGCCACACAAATTCAATTTTTCAGTTCACGTAACATTAAAATTTAAAATCGATCCGGGGACCCGGGGTTTATTGTTTATTAGTAAAAAAAGTTTATATATAAAATCGTGACATTTTATTGGTTGACTTTTAAAAGGGAGGAATTTATTTTCGCTCTAGAAGTTATCAGCCGCGTGATAAACTTACCTGCCAATAAAATTACGTCCCGATCACGTGATAAATTTTTTATATATTTATTGAAATTTGAAAAAGTGACCCGGCCGGGTGAAGTGAACCAAAAATTCGAATTGTGTGGCCTAACAGTGATTAGTAATTAGTAATTTTTATAATAATTATATTTATTTATATACAGTGGAAATTACATTTACAATGTCAGCATAATGCATGGTCAAATTTTACTTCCCTTATTCCGCTATTTGGAATAACACAAAATCCAGTTACGAAAAATTATATGGTTGTAATGATGTATGCATTCAATGGTAGTTTAAGAAATAATTTATCAATATTAAAATATAATCCCAATGATAAATTTCGAAATTTATGGGATATTTCAAGGCAGCTTAATGCCATTCATAGTTTAAATTTAGTTCATGGAGATTTTCATGATGGGAATTTACTTTATTTAACTGAAAATATATTGTTGGTTAGTGATTTTGGGTTATGTAGATTAGTTAGTCAACCTAATAAAAATGATGAAATATGTGGAGTTATTCCTTACATAGCACCAGAAGTATTACGTGGTAAGCCATACACAAAAGCAGCTGATATATATAGCTTTGGAATTATTATGTGGGAAATGACATCAGGAATCCCAGCATATTGTGATGTTCCTCATGATTTAAATATTTGTTTAAATATTTGCAGAGGTGATAGACCAGAAATTATAAAAGGAACAATGCCTGAATATGTTGAATTAATGGAAAGATGTTGGGATAATGAACCTGAAAAAAGACCAACTGCCAAAGAATTAGCAAATACTTTTGATGAATGGAATAAAAAATATCCAATGGAAGAAGATGAAGAAAAGAGAATACCTGTTCCTGGTAATTTTAATTACAGTATTACTTATTTAATAAATTTAATCATTCAATATTTATTATTTTACTATTATTTACAGACAATGAACCAGAAATTAAATGTCATCCGAAATCTTGTAGTACAAGTAGAATATTTGTTAGTTCAGTTAAATTGAATGAGATTTTGAGTGGTAAGACTGATATTTTAGATGAAGGTATGTATACAAAGTTAATTTTTATCATACATATCACAAAAACTTATTTTGTTTTACAATTTTGTATATTAAAAGATCTAGATAACTGCATGGTTACTGTTATTGAGCATCAACTATAACTTGTTTATTATAAAGGGAATTATAAAAAATAGTTCAATTTCACGTAATTTTATTTCAGTTTGACTTGATTAGTTTTTGCCGAAAACTGTGGTTTTAAAACAAAAATTAACTAATATAATCAATCATAAAATATTCACATTGACTTATTTACAAGCCACTATAAAAGTTCTATTTATTTTATTTATTATAAAACCTGTAATTTTGCCATAAACTTGTGAAATTGGATTTTCATCATATGACTTAAAAATTTTTTCGCGCTACACCATTGGATAAAAAATTACTATTTTAAATAACCTGACTATAAAATTTTGATTTCAATAAGTATTAATTTGTTTTAATATTAATTTATCCTTTATTTAATAAAACTAGTAATAATAATACAAGAGAAAATATGAAGTACTAGTGTCCCACATGTTTGAAATTTTTTTTTATAAAAAAAAATAATAACGAAAACATTTGCATAACATCTGTAGTATTCAATTATCACGGGAAAAGAATAAAATGAAATAAAAAATATCATCATCCTTCTTTTAGGGCCCAGAAATATATGAGTTTGTGTATTTTGAATCATGAAAATCTTTCCTTTTTTAGATAATTTCTGATAATGCCGGTCAGAATTTTATTTCCTATTATAGTACCGGACTGACATTATTATAATTCCGGCCCTGAAAAATGCGTACGGCTCATAGTAAAAAATTTTTTTCATCACCTGACTCCTATATATATATTTCTGGGTCCTCCTCTTCTTTTTTTAACAGCAAATGTGTCATAGATATTATATGAAATTAAATTGAGCTAGTTTGATATTTTGAAGTATAATCATATTCGATATCATCGACAATCCTTTAAAGACTTTAAATCAAATCTGATTTCACCATATTCCGAGCATATTCCTTTCATGGCTAAAAGATGAGTTTGATATTGAGAGATTGATAACACGAGTAATTTAGTAATCGTATAGATTAAAAAGACAAATTTCACCGGAGACAAGTTTATTATTACGATGGAATAATTCTACATCATCTTCGATCATCTAAAATATATGGTACTATTCCATAAATCTAATCTTTATTTTATATGGGCTCGATAAGTAAAAATATTTCAACATCTCTTCTATGATTGTAAAAACATATTCAACAAATATTATGAAACCCTCAGGAACTTCACGACCTTCTCAAGTATTTAGAAATTGGGATAAGAGTGGTATAAAATTAGTTTCAATCATGTGTAAAGGTTGTGCAATAAGTTGAAAAGACTTAACACATTCATTATCCATTATGAAAGAAAGAGTAGAATATCTATTGTGAACTGCATGAACGAAATCACTCATTGGACTACTAATGGCTTGAAGTTTTCAGCAGGAGCAACTGAATACAATTACCAACTGCACACGATTGAAGTTTTTTTGTTCCTGTTGCAAAGTAAGATCGTAGTATTCACTGCATTGATGTAATGGAAAGACAAGAATCAATTATTAAATCAGTATTAAATTCATAGTTATATATAAGTAACAGAGCTCTTAAATCTCCACCCTCTCGATTCTTTCAGTGGGTCTCTTGTCTTTATAAAAAATGGGCTAATAATACACGAGCTCCTGTTCTGCCTCGGGCAGATCAAAGGGCGCGAACATATAACTTTAATTGCATATTTTATACATAATTATGATCTAAATAATTTTTTACTGGATAACAGGTTTCTAAGCAGCTCTGATACTACTCTGGCTACAATTAAAATTATTTCATCTTGGAATCACTAATAATGTTTTCTAGAAATGAAATGATTTAGTTGTGTGCGTAAGTATTTTCTTGAACGATATAAAGTGTTTTTTCTTTTCTAAAAAAAAACTCTTTATTAGTGCGTGAATCGCCATGCGAATCAAGCCATAAATGTAGGTGTAAAATATCTAGTCAATATAGTATCCTACCTAAAAAATATGTATAGAAGTTTTTTTTTATCTAATTACTAATCTCACCTAACAACTTCGTGAAATTTAACCAAAACCTTTTCTAAAATTAACTCTTTTTTTTGATCACCGAAGGTAACCGGAGTTTCGAACATGAAAACTTATCTTTATTTACTAGTGTAAAGAGTTTCTATATAAGGTTGAAGTCAACCTTAATAGGAAAAGTACTAGCCAGATGACTGACAGTCACATGAATCACGCGTGGAACTATCAAATAATAAGCTAAAAATATGCGTCTATTCAGAGACATCATCCTCTATATTGTACATTGTCTTTTTGTTCTAAAAATTTATGAAGTATACCAATAATTCCACCATGCCGCATATATGGGAATTTGCATAAATATAAAATCAAAATAAGGAGGAAAAACTTATATTACTTTATTAATTAAATGTAAACCGATTTTTTAACATACAATATGGCTGGGTTATTAGAACTAAAATTAAAAAAATTGTTTATTAAAATCTAAAAAAAGGTTCGTCATCTATGTAATTAAAATTCTTGTGTAACATGAAAATTCGTGCCATTAAATAAAACCCGTGACATGCCTGCGTCGGTTTGTTTTTTTTTTCCAAACCGAAAATACTTTTTCTCTTCTTTTTTCGGTTTAGTTTTTTTATTTGAACCGAAAAAAATTTTCTCTCTTTCATCATTTAGGTTTGGATCGGTGATCGGCAAGACCATGGTAAGCTGGTATGCGCCTTTTTCCATTTATTTTTTTCTTTATTTATAAAATTCTAAAAAAGATCATAGAATTGAATGATTTCATATTAAGCTCAATACCTTTTAGGATTCAAGAAGAATTTCTCTTTGACAATATTTCAACTGTTTATATACTTTACAGAAATCTCGTTATTTGAAACGATATCATTTCAATATCAAAATAATATCATTTTGATATCATTATGATACCATCACAATATAGCTACTATACAATATCAAAATGATATTGAATAATATCTAAACAATGTCGTTACAATTATATCGTAACGATAACTCGATAAGTGATATCATGATGATATTGTAATGAAATTGTTTGATATCGTTTTGATATTGTTACAATATCAAAATAGGGTCATTAAGATGATCTTAACGATATCTGATATTGTTTGAAATTTTAGGGTTTCAGTAAAGTAGTATATTGATTTTGCAAATAACACGCATTAGTTTATCAAAAATAAAAACATCATATAGACACAATGTTTATAGAGCTATTTATGAACTAATATATTTTAAATGCTATTAAAATATTGTTTATTTTATTTTCGGTCATTTAGAGTGGTTCGTATAGTGGTTAACCAAAATAGTAGGTCAAAGGCTCTGGTGATAACATTTGAAATTCATCAAAGTTATACCTACATAACTATGTTTCATTTACCCGTATAATAATGTTTCATATTATTTCTGAACTTATCAAAAAAGGTGATTTGCGTAGGGCTTTTATATTTTCATTTATATATATATTATGTATAAATGGTTTTGGGGCTAAAGCATGTACAGTTGTGTCGGAAAGTAACGCCCACGACCCGCATAGTAAAACATAGAAAAATAGAAAATTTCAAGCTACACATGCCGATCAAAATTATCCGGCCACTTTGTTTTACCAAAATTATGCAGATCATCACGTGCTAAGGTGACAAAAATATTATACGATTTTATATTTATAATTACAATAAACAAATTTCCATGCTTCACATTTTTCATATTCTTCAAAATTTTTCAGAAATATAAATCATTTACTGANATTCGACCCGGCAAAAAAAACTCTTTCCCCTTTCCATTTTTTCACATAGAAATCCGCAGTTAAATACTGTTTTTTTTACTTACCCTTTTTTACGTTTGTTAACGCTCGAGAAGAAAGAGGACCACTGGGTGGCCTCTTATGGAAAGGTTCTTCTCCTTATTACCCGACCTCTGAAAGAAGTTTTTATAATAAAATATTTTTTTATCTCACACCCATACAACATATTGAAAAATATGGCTTCTTTTTTTCCTAAACATATTTCCTTGGGAAAATTTTCTTTCGATGTCTCATTCCACAAATTTCACGTGACTAGACCCAAACGGGCTGGATGTAACAAGATTTATGAAATCAGGAGATCAAAAAGTTTCTTTTTTGAGCTAGTCGATCCTTCAACAAACACCAATGATATTCATCTTAAAATACACACAAATGATTATCACATGAAATCGACCCCTATTAGCTACTCTTCCACCTGTAGCTTTCCTAATCTGAAATACCAGATTAGTAAGATGTTACAACATTTTTTTTCTCATCAAAAAGTCATCCCACGCTCCATTCAAAAGAGATATTTTAATCTTATTCGTTCTAAATTACTCGATAGATACTTCATTATCAAATCACGTGCTGACAGTGTCACACAAAGAAATTCCCGCACAAAAACTTTCTTTAACTTCTCCTATAAACGTTATCGTTTTCACTTTGGTATTTTTATACCATGTAATTTTCGTACCACTCACAATTTTGGAATTGAACACACACAGTTGTGTAGTGTCCCCTCCCCTTTCATCATGTCTCATAATAGACGCACTTGTGTTTCTCATCATAAAAACTTAGATATTTTTCACAATATCAAGAATCACACGCCGATACCGAATAATAACACTAATAACAACAAACGATTCCATGCAACCCTTATCCATAAACAATGGCAACGTCGTGTTAAAAAACACGTTTATTCAAATCGTCTTGGAATTTCCTACGATATTTCATATTCAGCTAATGGACATAAATATCTTACCACATACAACGATCGTCGTATGTACCGAAAACGATTGGACAACTTCCGCTCACACCACTCTGATAGTAGTAAAAGGAGTAAAAAACAAAAATCCCGTTTTCAAAGGGCATGTAGATATGTTTTTTACAATCGCGGTAAAAACCGAAAATCTCATAGACGTGTGAATACTCTTGAGGAAAAGCTTCACCGTGCTAGACAACATCGTTTCCTATTTTTACCTTCACAACATGTTAATAAACCTATACAACATCTAAAATATCATAAAAAATTAGTGCTCAGAGACGAGGAACATTACAATTTTCCTATACCCCCTGCACCACGCAGACCTCTAGGTGTAAATGCCGTTTTAAACAAAACTATTGACCGACTGCGTCGATTAAGTCCAGGGAATAATTCAATTAGTACTTCAAATACTCACTCACCTGCCACCACCTTACAACCCATTCTCCTCAAAGAAGAGAATACGTGGCATGAGACGTTGGGCATCTGGATTCCTAATGACCTCTTCCCTTATGTAACCGATGAACCTGTCTATATATCTAAAAGACAGGCTACTCTCAAAGGTCGACAACATGCTCCAGGCAGTACGGAGTGGTTAAAAGTTATTAGAAACCGTAAAAAGGCTCATGAATCGGCCGATCGCCAAGAAAAAGAACGTCTTCTTCGTGAAGAAGACCTTTCCGCTAGAGCTAAACTCTGGGGTACCTCTTCCAACAGTATAGAATACCGTGAAGAAATGACGAAAGATCTCACTAAATTTCAAGAACATTATCACAAAAAAATCACACCTCTAATTGAGCGTCATGCTGTTCTAGAGAACAGAATCACACAAGGAAAAAACGTTTACAAAACCAACAAACAGTTGCTCCAATTGGAGCGCGAATTAGGAGTTTTCAAAATCGACTACTTCTCAGTCATAGATGACAATGGTTACCATTATCGTTACAAAGGACACACATCCGATGATACGAAACAACTTGAGCTCAGACCACACAAACGTCCGTCTAACCTAACTATAAATATAGATAGGCACAATACTGAGATCAAAAAATTGAGACTAGATATTCCGTCTCCTGAAGACTCTAAAGTCTTCGCTTCACTTTAACCCCATTCGGTCACCACTATCAGCTTATTTTTTTATTTTAGTGGCACGCTGATAGTTATAGATTTATATTATTTCTGCCACATTTTTACTATTGACTTGTAATTCATTACATCTTTTTTTTTTGGGTTATCCCCACGTACAAATTTTATACCAACGTACAACAATTAGAATAGTGTTAACCATTCCACCTATTACAGTATTTACAGGTGGCGGTCTTTCATGACCGAAAGAAAAATACGGATCGTTCTTTTTTTTTTGTTTCGATTGACCTTTCTTTGGTTTATTAGGATGTGATGTCGTGTTAGGGACTCCTCCAAGTTCGTTGAAGGTACCAGAGTGGCGCTGTCCTCGGGCGGTTTGATTATAGCTTAGTATTAGATAGCGTTCGACTTTTGTTTTATCTCTTGTTCTTGTCTATCTTTCTGTAATCTTGTTCACGTGGTTATATAAAAATAAAATTACAATAAACAAATTTCCATGCTTCACATTTTTCATATTTTTCAAAATTTTTCAGAAATATAAATCATTTACTGAGTAAATTTATGATTTACGTGATGATAAATTAAAAGATTTAAAAAATCCCGTAACTTTGTCAATATTAATCTAATAAACACATATTTACCACCATTCGAATCGCCTCGATGAGACGAATCCAATAAGCTAAAAATCATGGCTATACGATCACTGGATCAAAACTTATTATAAAATTTATTTAAATCTTTAAAGTGCAATTACATATCGAATATCGATCCTACAAGAATGTAATTATTACCATTCGAATCCACTTAATGAGACGAATCTAACAAATCTTAATTCATGAAGATCCAATCACTGAGTAACGAAATATTCTTGATATTCGATTTTTAAATTTTAATCTATAATCTTACGCAAATTTTCATAAACTTACATAATAATATGTTTATGTAAGTAGTCATAGGTCAAGCCATAATCTTATATAATATTATTTCATAATGGATAATACTTAACCTTATTAAATTTTCTGATAAAAATACTTGAAAAGCATTTTAAGGACGCATGGATAGATATATCTCCAGAATATTATTGATAGCATACTTTATAGAATTGAAGAAGCTATTGCCACCAATGAAAATAGAATTCATTATTAAATTTTTATTTAAATTAACAAACAATGGCACAATGAATATATATAACTTTAAATTTTAAATTTCACAATATTATGCATATGTAAGTTTATCACTTTAAAAAAGTGGCCGGATAATTTTGATCGGCATGTGTATATACATATTTATATTTCTTTTAATAATTATTTCTAATTTTTTTATTACTTTAAAGCTAATATATTCTTTTAGGAAAGTGATATTTAAACTTTGGAAAAGTTAAAATGTAAAAAAGTTTTTTTTATATATTTTAGATCTGAAAAAAAAATTTTACATATAAAAATAGATAATTTCAAGATACATATATATTTATATTTCGTTTAATAATTATTTCTAAATTTTATGTCATTTTAAAGTCAATATCATATTCTTTTAATAAATAATATTTGAACATTGGGAAAGTCAAAATGCAAGAACCGTTTTAATTATAAAATACGGAATTAATTTTATATATGTAATTTACTATGTAATTGTGAATCGTACGTACGCGACTGTACATTTCAATATGGGAGTTAAATTTTATTCTAAATAGACACATTTTCAATAACAAAGAATTTGGATCTTATTAACTAATATAGTTCATTTGACATGGTTTAAATAAATACATTAATCTTTGTACTATACAATATATTACGATATGATCATTTTTATTGACGATATCACATTATTACAATCACGATAATTTAAAGTGTTATTTTGCGCACGGTTTATTTACTATATCATTTAGGTTCATTGATCCCAGTGCGAAGTAATGAACTGTCACTAGTTTATTAAAATTAATAAAATTTTGATATGATTTGTAATAAACTTTTACTAAAACTAAAGTTTTTGTCTAAGAAAATAATAACATATTAAAGTATTATTACACGTTCAAATTAATATATTTGACTCATATTATATATACTGTTCCAGCTAAGATAATTAATTAGTAGTTCTCTGTTAATTACTGAATATGTTCAAATTTAATATATTGACTTATATTTATATATACTGTTTCAGCTGAGATAATTAATTAGTAGTTCTTTGTTAATTACTGAATATGTTCAAATTTAATATATTGACTCATATTTATATATGCTGTTTCAGCTAATAATTAATTAATAATCTATATAAGTATCAGACAGTTATATTAATTAACAATTATGTAATTACTCATCATTGTGACTAATAATAGACATAAATATAGTTCAATTACATAATTTATTTTGACTTTGACATAAAATTACTTTGGACTAATACATTATTGAGTATCAATGTAATCATACTGTATACAAGAAATCTTTATATATATAGGTACCAATTATTTTCCTTACTATTTTAACAATATTTCTTAAGTTAATATTATATTTGTTATTTACCTTCAACAGTTTATCATTTTTGTAATCAACATGATGAGTGATCACATGAGCACATCTAAGAACTACCCTGGTCAAGATAGTAAGTCCTGTAGACAGTATTGACTTGTAATAAATACTTAGTTGCTAATTAATTTTTAACTTTCCAGTTCTTATTTCTTATATAAAAGAGCGAGGCATTAAATCATCATATTATGGATTTTTGAAGGCTAGTCATGATATCATTATTGATACAATATCATCTACAGATACATGTGACAGACTTAACACTATCTGGTTTCGTCACTTTCTAATGGAAGCAAAATTACAATTAAAATGGGAAATTTTTGTTGAAGTAAAAATAAGGTGTGTCTTTTTTTTTATTTTGCAAAGTGTGGGTAACTCTTGGTTGACTGCGTCTTGACTTAAGAGAATTACTGTGTTGACAACCTTGGTAACCAACCCAAGATCTCAATTCAGGCATCCTACTTTGTCGTTGATAAAGTCTGCTAATTCTGGAGGAGGAATTGGCTATGTACCTTCTTTAATCACTAAATAAAAATTTTGATGCACTACTAATAATTTCTTTCTAATAACAGGCAATAGTAGAAAATTCACGTTATACAAATTATTTGCAAGCATTATGGAAAAATATTTTCAAGGAATATAAAAAAGAAAATTTAGTACCTGCTGCTACATCTCACTCAAAAAATGCAATTAATGTTTCTGCTAAAGAATTATCTAAAATTTTTCAATCAGGTCATAATAAGAAAACTGAAAAGAATACTGAAAATACTCTTCAAGTTAAACAAAAGGATGAACTGAATACTGAAAAAATTACTCTTCAAGTTAAACAAAAGGATGAACTGAAAAGAGTAAGAGATGATAATGATACTGATACAGAGAGTTCATCTACTGGTAATATATCCACATATTATTTCTTTTTACATTTATACATATTATTAAATTATATTTAATAATCATCTATTAGAACACTGGAAAAAACAAAGCCGAATTTTAAAACAAAACAAGGATAATTTAGTATATAGACAAGTTGTTGATGATGCAATTGTTATTGCTTCAGCACATAAAAATCTTATTGCAGATAGTAATATTATACCTTTTATTAAAATTCTCAAGACCTCTTTACTAAATAGATCACAAATGTCTCTATCTTCAGCAAATGAACCTGTACTTCAGGCAATTGTAGAAAAACTTTTGCCACCAAATTATTGTATTCCAGAACTTTCATTAGTAATTAATGGTAAAAAGCCCAAAGGTTCAGGTCGTTTTGGTTATTCAGATATTTTTATTTTAAGTAATACAGGAAATAATAATGTTGGTCTAGAATTAAAATATATTTCATTAGTTGGCCTTATTAATATAAATCAAAAAAATAATTTTGGTGCAAATGAACTAGAAAATCTAGATAAAATACTTGAAAAGGAAAATATAGAATCTGTATTAAAAAGACCATATTCATATTGGTCAAAAGAGGATAAAAAAACAAATTTAACAACTATAGGTGAAATACTAAATAATGGGATTGATCAATTAAGCTTATATATGAAAACAGTTTCAAAAGGAAAAGCTACTAATTATTCTAGCTCAGGGATACTTGATAGACGTGTTAAAGTATCTAAATCTAACCCTAATAAGTTAAAAGGATTTGTTATATTAGTTATTGGTTTTCGCCGCATTTTATGGAAATCTGTTGATGATGTAACAACCAACTATATATATAATAAGATATAAATATTTTATATTTACTATCATTATGAAGGTTTAAAAGTATTAATTTCTAGTAAATGTCTGTTGATGACTAATATAATTAATGATTATTAAATAGATTATAAATAAATCCATTAACTATCATCATGAAGTTTTAAAATATAATTAATAGGGTGATCCATTATTTTTTACAAATAGCTGTAATAATTTAGATCATAAAGACATGAGAAAAATTTTATCATTTAAATAAATGATATTATTGTGTCTGAAGTCTAAACTTTCTCAATAATAGGTTTTGTCAAAGCAAGCTAAATATTTTTTTGGTCTTAATAGTAGCATACTAAATTAGTAAATTTGTTATATGTATTTGATTTAATTGATTATTACAAATACAAAATCAATGCATATGAGTCAAATCAATAAATTTAAAGAGTTATATTTGCAATATATTCAATGGTATTAATTTATAAAAAAAAATAAAAATTGGCAAAAATAGCAGTATAAATGTATTTTCAATTTCAGATTGAAAAGCCTGAATAAAAACATTATTAGCATAATATGATGCTGATACCCATAATAGATGGACATCTAGTAATTTTTTACATTTGGGTTCTTGGAAATCACATAGAGATCAAATTTGGTTCAATAATATAGATTTATTTGTTAATTTTAATTACAATATAGTGGGACATAATTTAGATGTTAGATAATATTTTTATGTTCTTATTTTTCCTAGTTTTTTTATTTCCTTCTGTGGTGGTTGCATTCCAGAAATGACCTCAGGTCTTTTCTGTGGTGTAGCCGGCAGCTTTAAGGTCAGGAGTCATCATCTGCCTGGCTTCTCTGACTTGTGATTTAGTTTGTAGTTTTAGAATTATTTTCACTGCAATTTACATGTAATATTGTTGTTTTAATAATTTGTACTACAGCTTTGTATGTTTTGAAACATAAAAATAAAAATAAATAAGCGTAATTATTTATTTTTTAGACCCCTTTTTTTCATTTCGTCATCCTTTTTTTTTTTTGTTTTGTTATTAATAATTTATTTACTATGATAAAAAAAAAGTACTATGAAAGTTATCAAAAAAAAATATATATTACCATAAAATAATATCATAAATAAATATCACAAATAAATAAAATAATTTATTTTTTTATTTTTTTCCTTTTTTTAAATTAAAAAAAAAATGTTATCTATTCTTTTACCATTATCAGTTAAATAAAAAAAAATAATGGAAGATTTCAGTAAATGTCAATCATTATGTAATCAAGTTTTCCTATTCAAGTTAAAAAAATTTGGACAAATGTTATAGGATTGATATATCTATAAATAAATAAATGATTTTTTTTTTACAAATATCATATATAATAATTACATCAAAATATTGATCATAAAAAAAAAATTTCTATTTATTTATGAAATGTTAACTTCATTTTTTAATTTAACTAGTATTCACCTGTTAACTACATTAACAGTTATTAGAGGTAAATCTGCATACAGTCACAATATTATTAATTGTTTTTTATTTATTCTTATGTTTCCATTTCTTAAAATTCTTAAAATTATTCCCACCCTTTTTGTAATTTTTTTTTCTTTTGTCAGTCAAGATCCCTTTTTTTGTAAGATGTTTCAGGATCCTTTTTCTTTTTTTGGTAGGTCAGTACTTTCTTGCAGGATGATGCTACGGGATTCTTTTTTTTTTATAGGTCAGTATGGCAGGTTCAGTTCAGTGTTTTTTTCGCTCAGAGATTCTTTCTTTTTTTTGTAGGTCAGTATTCAGCATTCTTCTATAGAGTTCTTTTCTTTTTTGTAGGTAAGTTTGATATTCTCTTTCTTGTAGGACGATGCCTTCAGGATTTTTTCTCTTTTTTTGTAGGTTGGTATTCGGTATTCTTTATCTTTTTTGTAGATCAGTTTGGTATTCTCTTTTTTGTAGGTCGGTATTCAGTATTCTTTTATTGGGTTCATAGGTTAAGTCATTTTCTCTTTCTTCTAATTTCCCTTTTCTAACCTCTTTCATTTTTTTTTTCTTTATGTTGGTCCTCTTCTCAGCATCAGATTTTGGGTAGGTAGAGCCCCTTTCTTTTGTTTTCCCTTTAGTTAGAGGTTAACCTCTTTCATTTTTTTTTCTTTAGATCAGTCCTCTTTTTAACGTGAAATTCCAGGTAAGTCTTTCTTTGTTTTTGTTTATTCCGCTTTGTTTCATTTTTCGTTCATTCTAACCTTTACCCTCTCCATTTAGGTCCTGATTCTTTCGGCTCTTTGACCCTAACATAGCAGAAACTTATAATTTTAAGACAACGCTTTCACTATAATGTAACATCATGGTTATAATAACGTGACAATGCATTATACATTAGCGCAAAGTTACAATACAATCATAATGCTATGACAGTGTTGTTAGATATATCGTAATGATGCTGTGACGGAATTTAAGTTTTTCAATGTAAAAAATGGTAAACTATTTTTTTTATATTAATAAATTTCAGAATTGTCAAAAACGTAGTTATAATACTTATAATTGTATAATGATAACGTTAAAACAGTGTTGAAATGGTATTACAACTATACTAAATGATCGTCTAACAATCATTAATAATCACTAAAATAATCAAATTATAATTGATGTATATGATCTAAATGTAAAAATATACAGGAAAATGAGACCAATTTGAACAATATAAACAATATATGGTCGTAATTTTCCATTTTACATTCAAAAATATTACTAATTAACAATTTTATGTACAGATAGATATTTAACATTTATTATAAAATAAATTATACAGAAACCCATTAAACAAAAATATGAGATATATAATAAGAATCATAAACTTCGTAGCCACGCTCAATCAAAGCAATGTATTACTAAACCTACGCTAAAGATGACTTTAGCAAGGCATTCTTTTGTGAAATAAAAGAAATTTCATACACTTTGCCAGCTGGTAGGATAGCTTATGATCTCTAATCTTAAGTCAATTTACGCAAGAAATAATAACTAATGCTAACTAAATATCAAAATAATTTAATATTATATTTGCTGCAGTTAAGTTAAACATGATCCAAGCATCAAAAACATAATCGCAGAACATTTTGGTGGATTTGACTGTTTATTATTTTGAAGTGTATAAAAGAAATTGCAAAGAAAATTAAAAAAGAAATAGTTTATTCATTGATTAAAAATAGTTTGACGTGTTAATTAAAAAAAGGAATAGTTTATTCATTGATTAAAAATAGTTTTTTTTTTATTTTTATTTTTATTTTTAAAATATCGACTCGACTGGGGTCGAACGCTACATAAGAATAAACATGATCTAAAAGAACAATAAATTCTAAGCTAGTGTTATACCCAACCTCTCGGGAGAAGCCCGAAGGGGTCGTCTTGCCTATTATTCAATCGAACAAACAGGCATAACCTGGAGATCAAAAAGAACAATCCAATCATCATTACATGATCCGTATTTTTCTTTCAACTACAAAGTTGCTACCTGTAAATACTGTCATAGGTAGAATGGTTCACACTATTTAAAATTGTAAAAAAAAGGGAAGTTTTGTAATGCATCTGTGATGCTAAATACGGTCAAAATAAAATGTAAGTATGATTCAATACATATATTTGAAGACCTAAATTACTAGTGAATCGGAAAAAAAAAACCTAGTAAAAAAATATAAAAAAAAAAATTTTTAATCCTAAATAGGAGGTCTGCAACTCCAAAAATAAGGAGTTATCTTTTCAAGGAAAAGGGGACTTCAAAGTCCAAGGAATATTGTTGCGATCAATTGTAAAAAAAGAAAAAAGATAAAAAAAAGAAAAGAAGGAAAAAAATCCTACTCGAAACCTTTTGGTTTCTGGCACCCGAACGGATCATATACGGGAGTGGGACCATTCTGGTTAAAAATATTATCCAGTTGTACGATCTTTAAAGGAGCAGGTGGTGAATTAAAAAGCTCTGCTGAATCTTTATCATCTGAATCAGCCGTTATGTATTCATCAGATGATGAAAATGCCTCATTATGACTTTGAGGTGGTGAAAATAAGTTTGATATGGTATACCGAAAAGAAGGATCTGAATTAAAAAGGTCAAATTGCCTTATCTCTATTTGCGCAGGTGGTAAAGTGGATGAAGTGGTCATGTTAGGGGGGGAGCCATTCGAATTAGAAAGCTCAGGTGATATTTTAACAGGTAAAGGGGAAATAGGGGTTGGATGATTATAATTAGAAGGTCCAGCGACTGCTGGTGGAGAGGGGACAGGAGTCTCCAAACTTATACTAGACTGGTGAGTTTGTGCGGAATCATAACTCGCGATTGAAGAAATGTCGGCATCAGAGAAATATGCTGATCGTTTCCGAGAGAGGGATGCGATGTAATTTTGGCGTGTAAGGTTAAATTGACGCTGGGCTTCAAATTTATACATGAAGTCCCTATGTTCACTGTATTTGTTGACCATTCCTAAAGTTGCACCGTCCCAAGGATTGTTGGGCGTATTTGAAATTTCATGACAATACGTAGATGGACGTGGTGTATATCTATATTTATGTTTGACTAAAGGTGAAGAAGGGTTAACCTTCTGAGTCGAAGGACTATCCAAACGGATGTTCTTGGTACTGTGAATAGGTATAGGGAAAGAGTAATTCTCTCTACGGGGATTACACTCTTTATATTTTAAATGTGTAATAGGTGAGTTAATATTTTGAGGGTGAAAAAATAGAAATCTTTGTCGATTAGCAGTAGCTAGGCGATCATTAATTTCAGAAGCTTCCGCTATGTGTGATTTGTCCTTATTGAAAGTTCTTCTACAATTTCTCTCAAATCTCTCATGTTGTTTACTGAAAGAAGTGGACTTAGTCGGAGTGGTAATTCTAAAACGTGAAAGGTGTTTGTAATACATAGTTCTTGTATCCGTACACTCGATTAATTTACATGGGTAGTGATTATAATTAACGTCATAAGAAGTTCCTTGACGTTTGGAGAAAACGTGTTTTACTGTTTTCATTGAGGATTTATTGAAAAGGTGCGAGGCATGGTGGCCTTTGGGTGTCGTGGAGGTCAGAAGTGAGTCCGGTTGAATAGGGTTTTTCACGTTAGCGAAAAGGTTAAGAAATGTGCCTGAATGATGATCAATACAGGCTCGTCGATTATATGACATTATATAAGGACAAGGGACATTACAAATATTTGTAACGTTCTTGGTCTCTGTGTTAGAGTGAGGGTGTGAACATGGTAAAAATATGCCAAAATAAAAATGATAACGTTTGTAACTAAAATTAAAAAAAGTTTTAGTTAAAGTATTGCGGCGTAATTGTGAATCGCCACGTGATTTGATTAGATAGATTAATTCTATCTAATAATTTCGATCGAATAAGGTTGAAATATTTTTGTCGAATACGACAAGGAATTACATACTGGTGTAAAAAAAAATGGCGTAACATCGTACTAATTTGAAATTTTGTGTTAGGAGTACGACTCGTGGATTTGTAACGAATTGGGGATGATTTCATATGATAATCATTTGTGTGTATTTTAAGTTGAATATTATTGGTGCGTTGTTGAGGATCGGCAAGCTCAAAAAAGAAACTTTTTGACCTCCTGAAATTGTAAATCTTGTTGTGCCCTGCCCGATTGGGATGAGTCACGTGAAATTTTTTGAAAGAAATTTCAAAGTCAAAATTCTCGACAGAAGTATGGGAGGATTTTAAAGACGACATATTATAGTCAAAGGGTGAGTAAAATGTAAAAAAAACTTCAGTCGGCAGTGTGAAGTGAGAAGGACTTTCCGTTAAAAGACCGTTACGGTCCTCTTCTCTGCCGCTTAAGCGGTGAAAGAACTAAGTAAATATTTGTATACTGCGGATTTTTAGTAAAAAAAACAGAAAGGGGAGAGAGTTTTTTTTCTTAAAAATAGTTTAGAATATGCCCTATTTATAATAATTAATGTTACATGTATCACGTGATATCTTCTTCAGATACTTCCAGTTCAGACACCGATAATCTTTTTTTGTTAAAGAAAAAAGAAAAGAAGCTAACTTTTTTTCTCTCGTTCTACCTTCTCCATTCCTTTTTCTTAATCTTTCTTTTCCTTCCCTCTCATATTTATCTTTTACACTCTCTTTCCATAAACAACAATATTACCAACGGCTTGAAATTAAGAGGGCTGAACATTCTGTGAATGGTGCTCTCTTAGGTGGGTTTTTTATTTTTATCAATTTTGATTTTTTTTCATTTTATATATTAATTTTCTTTCTTTTTTTTTATAAATTTGTCTTCATTTCAGCCTTTATTTGGATGTACTAATATAGTTAGCAAAACAAGCAACATTTATTATTCATATAAAAAGAAAATTATTATTAGTAGAGAAACAAAGAATATGAAGTACTTTAAGCTACTTTCATATCAATTAGCTTAAAGGGTTTTTGAGAAAATTTTTAATGATATTAAACGGGTGCTCATAATAATATTTCCAAAATATTATATTTATTATCCTTGTGAGTTGTGATGCTTGGGAATTTGGTAAGGGTGCTAAAAAATTTTATTTAGCCGTCTAAAAGAATCCATTACCTAAAGTTAAAATAAAAAATATATATTTTTTTAATTTTTTTGAAATGCAGGATTTTGAGAAGGAAAGATAAAGTTTTTTTTTTTTTATTTTAACTTAGATATTTTTTGACGTGTAGACTTTTGGTAATACCGCAAAATATTTTACTAACATTTCTATTTTATTTATATTTTTTTTTCTAGACGGTCATGTCTTTGGACGCATAGAATTTTGGTATGAAAATCTAAATTATTTTTTTGAATTTAATTTTTAAATGAAGCATTTTACTAACATTTTAATTTTACCCTTTTTTTAGGTGACTGAATCTTTGATTGTGTAGATAATCTCTTGATAGGGGTATTTGAAATACTTTTTTGAATATTTCTTTAGTGAAACGTTTATTAACGTTTTAACTTTACTGTTTTGCTCTTTTTTTAGACGCGTATAATGTGGTAAGAAATTTGAAAATTTTTTTTTTAAAACTTATTATTATACATTTCTAATATTTTGTTTTTTCTTTTTGTAGATAACCAGTTCCTTAAGTATTTGGACGCGAGAAAAACTTGGTAAGAGGAGGCTTTTATTAATTCTTTAACAAACATTTTTAGGGCTTTTTACTAACATTTTATTTTACTCTTTTTTAAGTGGCCAAGTCTTTGAACACAAATAAAATAAGACTTACGCAAGAGAATTATTCTTTAACAAAAACATCAGTTACTACAAAATGTTTATAAAATAATTTATTTTAGATGCTTTTATGTATTTTATAGATATTATTATTAATAATAGGTATTTGCGTAAAAATAAATTGCATTTAAAGTATGTTTACAACGTTGTAAATAATAAGTAATTGTATTTTGACTGTATATTCGCAATAGTAAAATAGGTATAGTGGAGTCGTTGTTACAGTAATTAAAAAAGCATAGTGGCGATACATTTTCTCACTTTTGCAATGCATTGTATGACGTTCAATAATGACGCACAAAACAACGGATGAACCACGTGATTTTGGCGCAGTGTAAACGTTGTTTAAAAATATGAAATTTCTGCAATGAAGGTGCATGTTTTTTTGTTTTTTGTTTCATTTGTTTGTGTTGTTTGTTTTGTTTGTTTTGTTTCATTTTTCGTTCATTCTTACCTTTGCTCTCTCCATTTAGGTCCTGGCTCTTTGGCTCTAAGGTGCATCTTGTTTTCATTTTTTGTTTGTTTTGTTTTATTTTTTGTTCGTTCTACCCTCTAACCTTTCCTTTTAGGTCCCAGTTCTTTCAGCTCTTCAACCCTAAGGTGCATATTTTTTCATTTTTTGTTTCATTTTGTTTGTGTTGTTTGTTTTGTTTTGTTTTCATTCATTCTTACCTTTACTCTCTTCATTTAGGTCCTGGCTCTTTGGATCTAAGGTGCATCTTGTTTTCATTTTTTGTTTGTTTTGTTTGTTTTGTCTCATTTTTCATTCGTTCTAACCTCTACTCTCTTTCCATTTAGGTCCCAGTTCTTACGTGTGGTGGGTTCTTTTTTTTGCTTCTCTTTTTTTGTTGTTGAAGAAAGGGAAAGGGAAAAAAACAATAGTAAGTAAAGAAAAAGAAGAAACAAAAAAGGGAAATAAAAAAATAATAAAAAAGTAAATTAAACGTGTAACATATTTTTATTGTTACTATCAAAATCGGCACGTCTGAAATGTGTGTCAGGTTGACGGCGCAGTGTGGCGCAGCGATTTTTTCCAAAAAAATTAAATTGCAATTTTTTTTATTTAAAATAAAACCTTTAAATTACTACACTAGATGTATTTTCGTCCGCTCTGCAAATTTACTTAGAGAATATACGGGTGGTTTAGAAGGCCATTTTCGAGTTATTTAACAAAAACTGTTTTTTTGACAAATCCAATTTTGGAAATGATCGGCAAAGACGATAAAATCAGTTGTTATATACTAAAGTCAAAATCTACTTCCAAAACCTCCTTCCATTTATAAGTGAATTTTGTAAAACAGATGAAAATACATCTAATGTGTAAATTTGAAAATATTACATTAAAAAGAAAATCTTTAACTTATTTTTTTT